TAATTATTTTTTACGAATAGGATTGTGGTTAGAACTGTCTTATAAAATAACTATATTAACGCATAATTCCTGTCAAAATAACTTCAAAAACTGTCAATCTACATAAGGTAGTGTGTGTTTTTTTACTACTATGATGGTGTTTAAGTATTTTGCGTCAACGTTAATAAAGATCTAGAGGTTCCTTTCTCACATACGTACGAGTACATATCGTTCACATACCATAAATGTTAAATCAGCGCTCAGAATATTATATCAACTAAACTGTGCTTAAATCGTTGTGTGTACAGTTTCGCAATCAGTATATAGATGACTGTATTAGTAACGGCACATTTATCGTAAAAGTTTGCCGCTGACGTTGCAGCTATAATTTCCAGTAACGCCCCCATCTATCCTTTTCAGTATTGCTAAGATTGTGGAAGTTTTAGTTTTTAAGTTGCATAAAATATATTCAAAAAAATACGTAAAAAGAACTTACATGTGAGTCTAGTCAGGAAGCAAAGTAAAGAACAAATGTATCTGCAACAATATAAGTAACTCATATGATATCAGAATGATTGTGGTCTCAATGAATTAAAAGATTTGCTGTTATTTTCCAGGATTTCCTACTTTATTTCTATGTAAATAAAGGTGAATACTGTAATAAAGTTAAGGTTGTAGGAATTTATAAGGCGGTAAAAGGTCAAGAACCTCTAGTTTTCTTCCAAAGACTATATTTACTTCAAAGTGTCGGGTACTTATTTTTATTTTGTTCAGCCGCCGCGCCGTAAACGTGCCTATAATTCATTATAATTGTGAATAATTGCACGACAGTTCATATGCACTAGCGTTTAATTCAATATTGTCAGTTCATTGATTGTCTTTAATAACATCGATTAAATAATTTTTCAATGAAATATCAAAATGAGTAAAACAGTTTATTAATAAATTGATTGACTTTATTCTTTCGTTGTTATTCGTTGCGATTATGATTCTTGTGTTAACTAAACTAAAAATCACTAAAAATTTGTTTAGTCCTGTTAAACAACGTTTCCTATTCTGGAAACGTAATATTTGACTGACCAAATTTTTTTTTAGCGATTTTTAGTTTAGTTTAGTGAGTTTTCGAACAACAGAATTAGCACTAATGTGTTATTGTTTTTAGTCTGCACTTAAGATATTATGTTTTCCTTTGCGGAAATCCCCTCGGATGTGGTGTCCGAGGAGATTGCCGCAGAGAACAAAATGTGGTCCTTATGTCGGCAACCCACGCCGTCTTGGGTACCAGTATTCAGGGAACTAGATGTCGGTACCCTCTGGTACCCCGAGGTACCTCGGGCCAACTACGACTTGTAGAGGACCAATTCCTAGTAGGCACACAACGGGTGACAACGTATTTGTGTCCTTTTAAATCCAGGTTTTTCCATCGGGTGATCCGTGAATGATGAAATTTTCGATTTTTTTGTATGTTCAACATATTTGACAATATTCTGATAGAAGAGTCGTTTAATCGACACTAGCAAAACTAGTTATGTTACGATTCATTCCTAAGCCTAATGTAATTTGTAATGATTATTGATCGATGCGCTATTTGTACTCTGTTCTAGACCTGAAAAGAAGATTATAGGAGGTTTAGGAGAGTTTCTGTTACGAAATAAATTACACATTTGTTCCGTGGCCTTCTGTATATAGTCTGTACCTCACAATCAGGCTTAAAGTTTATTTATTCAAATAGATTATTTTCTTTTTTAGGTCCATTTCTATATAATAGATTAAATAGGGAGCTAAGTATTTATAAATTAAATTATGTCAGCTGTAAAAACACATTACATAATTATTTACGAATTTTGTCGTATGAGCAAACTGAGTAGTTACTGGATATATGTAAATGAAAATTTGCTGAATGGTCTTAGTGCATTATTTTTGACCCACTTATAACTGATGTTTCTAGTTGCTTATGTAGGCTATTAGAATGATAAAATGTAATTGTAGTTATGTAGATTTATGTTGATAAAATAGTTCGTAAGCACTTCTTCGCCCGAGACACAGGTTTAACCTAATTCGGGCAAACAAACAACAACTGTATTTCATTTATAAATTAGAGAACCATTTATTATAAATTATTGTACTCTTTATCTAAATAAATTATTATTATTATACAATTATTAAAATGGAAGTATAGAAATGAGATGATATTCGCAAATAGTAGCGGGGTTTGTGTTTTAAGCACAGGAATAATTTGACCTTTTCCAAGGCTCTTCTGAGAACCTATTGCAAGAAAAGACGAAGAAAAGAAGAGATTTAACACCTGTCTAAAACAAATTCGTGACAGATTTCGGTCAGATTTCGTCTTGAATTCGTTTAACTAAAAGAAAAAAGAATAATTCAAAATGGTTTCTGTGTTGTGTTGAAAATTACAGACCGCCGCTAAAATCAAAGCTATTGTCAAGGGAGGAGGGGTTTTTCCGGCTAGTTAGGAAGTAGCTTGCTAGTTTATCTATACGTACTTCTACATAAAAGACATCAGATTTAGTTAGATAGTGTTAGTGGACGATCTTATTAGATTAGCCGGCTGTATAATATTTTTTCTGATGGTTACTGGGTTCACCAAATGTTAATAAAAATGTGGGAAAAAGGGCTGATGATGCAAAAGTTTCATCACTAGTGTCACCGGTGATGACACTTTTTTTAACATTCAGTCTGTCCGTTTGCCTGTTTATGAAATCATTTAAGGAAAATTGAAAGTCGTTGTGTAGTTTATATGATGCGATGCGAAGTGTAGTTGCATATGATGCGTAACATTCAACATGTTACCTATCATCTGATGGCAAACTCGAGTACCTATCGCACTCTTTGCATCGCATCTTACCATCCCAAAATAAAACCTAAGCTCAGAAACTAACACACACACACACACACACGCACACACATACACACACACACGCTTTAGAGATATAAGTATAATACAAACATTGTACCATGGAGGGGCCTGGTAATCTGTGTAACAGGGGTCCCTAGTGCAGATGCCAGTCTCCCACAACGGACTTGAGCAATTACTGCATTAAGTTGGTATTAAGTAACCTTTGTTGCAGAAAAAATAAACTTTATTTTATCTACTTTATTGGTGTAATCACATAGCGTGCATTTACCTGTCTCCTTGTTACAAAGTTCCGTCCCTTTTTGCCCCAAATCATTCTCACAGATTAACAAGCATACCAATAACGAATACAAAGTCTTAGTTACTATGTTAGTAACAATGGAAGTGGACTCAATATTGTAAGATCGTTATAAGGTTCATCGTAGTCTATTGCAATGGGGTAGAACACCATTCAGGCAAACCAGTATTTTTTTATTAAACGTCAAAATGATAGAAGCGGTACATTTTTATAAGATACTATATTGTGACGTCATACCTAGCTATTGTGAAATCATTTATATTTAATGTTTAAATTAAATTGATACTGAAGTACATTTGATGCTGTACTTTAAGCTGTTACATTAATTTATTCAATCAAAATAATTTATTTTAAGGCTAGGAATCTACCCTATTTTCAATGTGACAATAACAAAACACGTATACATGTGCATAATCTCTAGATACTCCATATTTTGTAACGCGGTCATTCAATATCGTAAATCGTTTTAATTCATTAACTCAAGTTATTAATAAAACAACTGATAAAATATCAATACGTTTATTTATCTCGCAACAATTAAACTTAATAACTTATTACTTATAACTTAATTCCTTATGTATTTATTGTTTCGTATTTACATATTCTGTTCTTAGTACTAATAAAATGTATTTTAGTAGTTTGACTTAGAACGAACACTTAATTTTATATTAAGCTGAAAACACAATTTTGGTAAATATATTGTTTTATCAAGCTAAGCACTCGGTACGATAAGGTAGGAATGTTTTTTTTTTTTGTTTTTTTTTAAAGACAACTCCCGCATTAGGAATATATCCTGTGTCGCGGGGGACTTAACAAACATACATGAAACGGACACAAAGACCACCCAGACTCTGAACAACAATTTGTGGATTACACAAAGTGTCGTCCCATGTGGGGTTCGAACCCACAACACTCGGTGTAGTAGGAAGCGACGTGGCGACCGTTAAACAACTACGCCATCCGTGCAGTCAATGTATGAATGTATTGAAACATTGTTCAGTATTCAAACAAGAGGTATCATCATCATCAACAGCCTTTAGTAGTCCACTGCTGGACACAGGCCTCTCCTTAGAATGGAGGTTTGACAACATGTTTATGTGAACATGGTTTAACAAGAGGTATGCTTGCTCCTAACAAATTAGTGTATTGATATATTACTACTTCCTGTTTTTTCTTTTTTATATCAAGCTCCGGTTTCAATTTGGTTCCATCTTTTTGTTGGCTTAAATTTGGTCCCATTCTCAAATGATTTATTTATTATTAAAAATCTAGAGCATCTTAGCAATCACAGAGGTAGTTATCATACACGAATGTTTATTTTGTTTATGGTTTAAATATTAAAATTAAGCGAGCACAGAGGTAGTTTGGAGTTTTAATTTATTTTTTATGTTTTTTACTTAACTGCTAACCTGCTAATCCTTTCTACAAATCACTCAGAATATTTTTATAATTTATAATTATTATAAATACACGAAATCGCAATAATCAATTCAAAAAAGACATTCTAAATCATATTTTTTATTTCGAACCTAATTTCTACCTTATATTGAAATGACAAATAGTCTCTGTTAGCTCTTGTATTTTACAATCTTTTAAAAATATATAAAAAATGATGAATTATGCGTTTTATTCACACGTCGGAAGACTGTAAATGATTTTTGGTTTCTTAAAAACTATCTACAACTATAGCCTTAAGATATACACTTCTAAACAGTATGCTGTCGAACAATTCCCTTAACAACACTTAAAAAATCATCACTTGATTTTCTGAGGAACTTACAATAGCAAAAGTCTTTCAAAGGCCAACTTTGAAACAATTGTTACTTATGTATCCCATACCTCTCTAAGCTATACTTTCTCCTCAGGTATCTGTAGCGGAAGACTTGCGTCTTCTTGCTTTCTGGCAGAAGCTGCTGCTTGAAGAGCTCTTCTGTGTCTCTTCTTGGTACGTTCTTTGTGGAAAAAAAGCCGCAGGTAGTGGCAGGGGAAGACTACACATTCTCCCGCGGGTTCCTCTGCGTCAATGTATACTCCTCGAACTATGATTGAGTTGGAGCAGTTCAGGAGTATTAAGAACGCGAGACTAATGATGTGGGAACTCCAGTTGCTGAGTTTTGGAGAGTCTACAAGAATGAAAAATATATATCAGTTACTAGATAGTTTCTTCAATTATGTAGAATGAGCTTTTTCCCCAGAAAGATATTGTGTTCCTCAAAAAGTACTTTTTTGAATTATAGGAAATCCTTTTCTCTTTTTCGGCTTAGCAATTAATATGGACAATTTTATGATTATGATTGGTTAAATTGTTAAGCGTAATAAACTAACCAACTTATTTTCACATTTATAATATTTGTTAGGATGATACTGTTGATATCTAACTACCTTTCAATAAATTGCATGCCTTGTTTTTTATAATAAGTATTCAGTTTGAAGAAAAACTTATAATAATTTATTTGTTTGTATCTTTGAAGAGTTAGTAACAGTCCAATATAAAAAACTAACTTTGCCAAGACTTCTTTGGCTCGAGACATTCATAAGGTACATCGAAATACACAATTACAAGATACAATTTACATTGGAACCACTGCCATTTTTAAACTCTACAAATAAACAAAAACTTTCAGAAAGTAAGCTTTTGCATGGTATAGAAAGTATATTTAGTTACTTAAGTGATGATAATGATGTCCTCTGCGGATAGGATTGGTGAACCTAAATTAGGCCTTTAATATTTTATCATATTGACGCTAAATTCAAGATTTACACTCATACTGTGACTTGACTGGTTAACTACACCGTGTGTCACGAAAAAATCTTTAAGACCAAATTTGAGTTCACTCAAGTAGAAATAATCTTAAATTTGTAAGACTGAACTAAACTCATGATATATACCCCTGATGTAGAACACTTACCAGGAAAGAAATAAACATCAAGAAGTCCCCACACCCCCCGCCACACGTTGACTGTAGCGATGAAGGACACTAGATGGTACACATCAGCTAGCAACAGTCTGGGAGCTCCTTGCAACCTGGCTGCCGCCCAACGAACAGGAGCTTGGAGAGCAAAGGTTACCACTACGATGGCGTAGCCGACTATCTGTTGACAATTAAAGATATTCTATGTTCAAGAATTACATTTGTTGAGCCAACTTTTTCGTATTCGTGGGTTTCATTTCCACCCAGGACATTATATTGTGTTATAAACACAATCTTTTGTTTTGACTGGGTGTTTTTTACATATACGTAATAATAGCTGTACCCTGACACGCTTCGCTGTGGCACATTGTGGTTTTGCATAGGTAGATGAGAAATGACGAACAGAACTGATACGAAATATATATAAGAATAATCTTTGAAGAGTGCTGTACATCGTGTAAAAATTTGAGCTCAGTGCAGAACTTTTTGAGGTTTTGAAGCGATACCACTTAATTTCTTTTTGTATAAATATAGATGTATGTATTAAGAAATATATTAGTAGGTTTATTCAACGTATGTGCCCAGATGACTGCAATATTCTTACCCCTACTACTTGTGGCAAAATTTACAGTCGGCAAGATGTGAGTGTTTACTTTGCCTCTGTCGAACCCTTCGGTGATAAAGACGTGACTATGAATGTTACATACAGTCTTTATCACCCTTATCACAGTGTTGTAATATTGCAAAAGTCTGTGGAGCAATGTGAACAATCGTTTTATCACAAAGTTATTAAAATTAACTGATTTTGCTACAGCAAAATTCTTTGAGACTTAAAGAATTTCGCTGTAATGTTTTTCAAGTTTTATATAACGTTGTAGGTATTATATTATTAAGAGCTAAAACATCTTGATCCCAAATTAAATTAGGAAATGAGTATAAGGGCATGTGTATAAGAGGGCAAACGAGCACTTACAACTCAAGAGCCATAAGTGCTCTGCCCGTTGAATCTTTCCCTAAGAATTAGAGGAAGGAGAAATTTTGGTTCGGTAACCTCACTCCCTAGATGAAATAAAAAAAAAAGACTGCAAATACAGGTTTTCTGTGAAGCCGTATCACTCCGGTCAAGCTACCCATTTCGGTACAACACCTTCGTTCAATAGACTTAATAATAATAAAGCCTTTTATTTCCTAATTACATAGTGAATATTTCAATTTTTGTGAAACTTGTTTTTAAACAAATAAAATCTATATTTAAGTTTTTTTTTCTGTCTGGTTAGGAACCCCTCTCAGGTGAAGGTCAGTTCAAAGGATTGCCATTTTTTATGATCTTGGAATATTCGTATCCATTGTGGTTCAGCTATTTTATAATATCATCGCGTAGATACGCGACCTTTAGAGATAGTTAAATTATTATTCGTTTTTGTGATGATAGTGTCTAACATTTTAGGTAAATATATAGGGCTGTTTTTGTATATTGTTTTTCTTTTGTATTTGTGAGTTATTCTGATATTTCTCCTATGGAAGGTGGTGCCTATAATCCTCCTCGGTGACCGGCCGGCTTGAAAGATAGACTTCAATAGACTAACGGAGGATAAAATCAAAGATAATCATAGAAGGCAACGACTACTGTAGATGTAGGTATATAAAGTTCGTTAGCAAGAAAGATTGTAAACAAGGAACATAAGATAAACAGAGAGGAAATATACAATTAATCGTAATGCGTTAGTAACTATTACCCTTATCTCTCTTGACGTTCCTACTGTGAATACAAAGATAAGAAGTAGATTACTAATAATCCTATCAGACTTATGAAAGACAATAGTTAGTTTGTCAATATTGTTATCCACAAATTGTTGTTCTGAGTCTGGGTGTTCTTTGTATCCGTTTCATGTATGTTTGAAAAGTCCTTCGCGACAGAGGATAAAAAAAATAAAGAAATACTAACTGTGATAGGTACGTTAATTCGATACACACGTAAATCCTCGCATTAGATTTCAGACAAGTTTTTTTTTTATAAATTGAAAAAATTCATGTTTTGTACATAATAGGTCTGAAACCTATTACGAGTATTTTAAATACTTTGTACTTTCTTCTTTTATTTCCGGTAGGCCTTAATTTGTTTGTACTTAAATAATTCTGTTGAGGTCAAAAACTGTTTTCATTACCTAAATGTCTTAGGAAGGAGTTAACAGCAAAAGTCAGCCTTTATCAAAAGTCCATTTATTTGTCCAAGGTTTGGCTGGATTCTGAGATTCTTTAATATAAATGAACATATTGACTGACCAATTATCCGTGTAGTGACGGATTAAGAATACGGAATGTCACTACCCCAAATTCATCCCGTGGGTGTCGTAAGAGGCGACTAAGGGCGCAAAACAACGCAGGACACCAGCACTGCAAAAAGAAGGAAAACTTGATACAAACCCTATACCAACCCGTCTGGCCAGCGTGGTATAGTAGGCCAAAACCTCCTTTCTAAGGAGAGGCCTATGTCCAGCAGTGGACTATTAAAGGCTGTTGATGTGATGTGTGACTGACCAATTCAGGTTGACCTTAAACCGTTTGATTATTTAGGAACCAATTTAAAAGATGACATGAACAACTGTGATTGCCATTCTTCAAGGAGATAAATCATCGTTAATGAAAATCAGGAAGTCATCTCATATCCGAAGAAGTCCTCAGTAAATTAAGCTATATCATTATGCCCGCATCACCATCGTTTAATAAAGAAAACTCTAGCGTCATAGGACATAAATAGCCATGTTCAAGCCGGGTAATTTGCCTGCTAAATGTGGCCAGTTCAGGAACTGCAAATGAAGTGCACGTTTAGGAACAGCAATAGTTTTGTTCGACTTGTCCACGTGGAGCAATTACCAACATCACATGTACAGGATGTTAGGGACACGCTTCCGAAAACGATGTCAGACGACCGTACTAATGATGATTATGCCGTTCTATCAGCATCCTCATCAGCTATTTCGATTCATTTTCATTGTTTTTATTGTTATAAAGTGATGTATTTTTTATGAAATCATCTTTTCATTAGGTTAAACTAAAATATTGTAAAAGCTTTTGTTTTTCGTTGCGATTAACCTTTTTTTTTGGACCCATAGCCAAAGGTAGTCAAAGTATTATAAGTACTACTGTCTGTCTTAGTTTTTGGCAGTGTTTCCTTAATTAACATCCTTTATAAGTTTGTCAAACAAAAAACATCTTTTATTCTTTAAAATACGACTCATATCACACTGGAAATGATGTTTGAAAAGGACACATCAACAAAAGTAATTGTGAGTTAAGGGAAATAGATGCTTCTTATTGGTATCGTGTTTGAAATTGAGCCTCTGTCCAGAATTACAGCTGTATTTGCGAGAGAAATTTATCATCATCATGTCCTATATCTAATTTTATAAATCGGCGGGTCGGCGCATGTGTAACATGGCAAATAGTTTAGGCTGGTTTGTATTGCTGCTGGTGGCCTGCCTGACGCCAACCCTTCATGAGAACATTTTCAGACGAAACAAAGGAAGAAGACAGTCAGTCAGGCAGCCAGTCCTGGCCACTAGGATAGAGATATCAACGGACCATTAGACAAAGGACAGTTTACAAGCAAATTGAGCAACTATTTTTAACGTGTGAAGTGATTAACTCTACACACACAACTAACAAATCCTAAATCTGAAACCCATATTTTTGCTTCTCATACTCTTTCGAAGGAAATGAATGAACTTTTTGTTGCAATTGGGGTTGGCGCGATTGTTTTACAAGAGGTTTTAATAAAATGTGTCACAGAATAAATAAAGATGTTTAAATTTTAAAGCACGTGGACGCTTGTATTGAAAAGAACACGGGCTTCTTAACATTTATGCTCACAAAGCTAAGAATAGCAAGTTCATTGGATAATTGTGTAGGTACTGTTTAAAATGCTAAACGACTGCAAGACGGAAAAGAGCATTTTGTCGGTCATGTGAAATACTATCTGTGTTCTTTTACAAACACACTTCCATAAATTAACATCAACTAAAGTTTAGAATCATGAAATATTTGACATATAAAATATTTCGAAAATATTCCGGGTATTTCTTAGAGATTTCGGCCACATCTGGTAAGTAAGTTGTGTGAGATAAATATCTCATAAATGTAGAAGAACAGCGGATGTCCTATCGTCTCTGTTTATCCCGGATGGGCGGTGAGCATATAAGTCTATGTATGGATGTATCGTTGTGCATTCCCGGTCTATCGCAGTTTATTTAACATTCATAACACCAATGTAAAAATATACTCAAAGAATTTCTACTTAAATTGGATTATCGTAACACTGAGGATCTTCTGCTGGGACGCTTGAAATAGTAAATCATACACATACACACATGATCACACTTACATATATACACGCACATACACTCATGCGCGTACACACCCACACCTCACACATACATAAACTCGAACACACATTAGTACACACACAGCAACTAACCCTTTTCCTTACTATTTTCTTAAATGTTATTGTTCTTTTTTGTTTTTTGATCTCAACATATGTATATGGCTTTGTATTTTATCAAAAGCAACAGGGGCACTGATTTCTAAAATATAGGTACTAAACCTAGTTTAGAGATCAGCGTTTACTAACAGTTGTACATAATTTATATGAACCTCATTTCTGTTTTATAATATGTAACTTTATTGAGTAATAAAAACATTATTATTATTATTATAACAGATCATCAAGGGCATGCTTGATTCTAACCTGCTCCAACGTGCCAATATTTTCAAAGCTTATCATTGACTTTATTTACCAGGGATAGATAGATCTTAAGATACTGATAGAATAGTTTGTTTATTCGCCAACATCGCGTCACGATTAAACAATAAATATTTTAACTTTTACTAAAGGCACAATATTGTTTACGATCCCTACGTCCTAATTTCAACTGAGTTAAAATCCAATAGTGATAGTGTGTATGTGTAGCTGGGGGACGCAAGACGCGACAGAGGAAGGTCCCAATTGCGAGCTCGTAAGTGGTCACTGACTCAGTATCTCGTTATGACCCATATGCGGAAAATGTACCAGCTTCACATCGAAGCATTTGTGATTGGGAAGATTTTTTGGTGTAAGTTCTTTGTAAGATCTGATATGTGAAAAATATCACCAATTTAATATAACCCGAATTAAAATCGTATTTTAATATATGACTAGAAAAATATGCGCTTTTTGTGAATTATAGTAATCATTTAACTAACTGTACTACAGTTAGTTAAATTACAAACTTAAATACTAATTATAAACTTACACGGTACCGTAGTCTGCAATTAAAAAACCTTGAAATTTCTAACGATTTGATGAATTACCGAAAACAAATCTTCTTCACGATTTCTTTTTACCTTATTAGTTTCATACGTTATGCAGTTCATGTTTTTCAGAAGTAAGTTGTCTTTGAAGGTAGCCTAATATGCATTGCTTAAAGTTTAGAATCAGATTTCTTTAGAACGAAGTTTGGGAAAACTTCAATATTTTAAGATTCTAAGAGCTACATTCCATAAGTTTATTTTCGAATAGGATAGGCGATAGATAGGATTATAATCCAAATGACAATATTAAAACTAATAACATGATGATTGTAACATTGTAAGTAATCTTCCACGTGTTACTATTAGTTTGCTGGCGTATTATAGTATTTGCATTTATACAATATCAATTTAAAGTAATTAATTAAAGTAAGTAATTTAATGTGTAAGAAACATTTACCGACTTTGACTTTAACGTGGTAGAGTCATACTTCAGCGTGTAAGGGTCAGCTCAACCAGACCGAAGTCATACCACGGTCTTACAGAAAATCGGAGTGACGTTACTGGAGGCCCTACCGCACAGAAATTAATGCTACTTTTAAATCATATTCATTTAATGAAATGATTATCTTTAGTCACAGCGATTTTACATGTGATTGTGATTTCGTCAATCGTTAGACAAAGATATTAACTTTTTTTTTTGATTTCGACCTTTCGCCAGTCTTGCGCTAGCGTAATAATTAAGTCGCAGTAGTTTCGTAAATCAGTCACAGGTGTGATGATATGATTTATCATATGTGATTGTGATTTTATTACATCGGGGAGAGCCAGGATTAGAAGAAGCTAGCTCTTCTAATCCTGGCTCTCCCCACTCAAAGGGCATTAATAAACTTGTTTTTCTTTAGTTGCAGGTATTCATGATATTCACTTACCTACCATCAGGTTCGTTTGCCCCCCATATCATAAAAAGAAACAAATAAACAGAGGTGTCGGTAACGCGAGTTCAATTGTTTTTTCCATCTCAAAAAATGCCCAAAATGTCTAAAAAAGTTTTCACTCCAACAGAGGTGTCGGTAACGGTAACAGTGTCGCGAAGACAATGGTTTTTCAAAACAAAATGGATATTTGTATTTTAGCTCTATACAAATAATGTAATGTTAAGTCTGAATGTTTTAAATGATTATAGGAAATATTTATTTTCACTAGTACACATTATTTTAAAACATTTGTGTAAGTAGTACACAAGTAATTTCTAGAGAACAGTAAACTAGATCAACAAGCTCTAGAAGGTCGGATACGCTATAATTTTGGCGGAAGGACCTGTTATAGCGTCTGTCACCAACGTACTTGAGTAGAGAAAGAGATCCAACATCTGCTTACTGCTATTGGAGTTCTCACACCTTAGTGACAAGTTTAGCAGCACCTACGCCTCTCCACTGCTATCGGTGCAGAAACCCTTTAGATGGATCACATCGCCACATTTTGCGATAAGTTGATGTTGGCAGAAAAGAAGGTCTAAAGTGTGCAAGTAAGTGTGCGTCTATGTTTATCTTCCGTATGTCTTATTATAAAGGCAAAGCATGGTAGGGAAGACTACAGAAGCCCCGATGTGATCCTAGAGCTCATCCCGACTGCCGATGTAGGCCGCCGCGGGGCTTAGTAGGTGTAGTAGTAAACTACCAGTAGTTTTTCTTCAAATTTAAACGTGAATATGGAAAATATGAATCAGTTCATAAATGAAGGAGTTCTGATAACAACCAAAAATAAATTCAACAGAAATGAGAAGCTCATCCTTTACTGAAGTCGGTAAATCAATAGAAAGAGCCCGGCATTTTTGATGTCGTTTATTATGGTGTCACGGATGCAATAATTGATCATAAAATTCTAATATGTAAAACGTAATAACTCTTCCAATTCAGATGGAACAAAATTTTATTCTGGTTCTTTACATTATGATGGAAGCGTTTTTTTTTTTAATCATCAACATCAACAGCCTTTATAGATATCTTAGAAAGAAAGTTTTGGCCTACTATACCACGCTGGCCAGACGGGTTGATATAGGGTTTGTGTCAAGTTGTCCTTGCTTTTATGCCTGCAGTGTAAGAATTGCAACGAATAACAAAAGATATTCTAAAAGGACAAAAAAGATTCTAAAACCTGCACATGAAAAGTTTGAGTGTGATTTTCTTAAGAACCAATTTCAATAGTGATCTTTATCCTGGAACTAATGGAATATTCCACACTAATGATTTAGAAAATTAAATATAGAACTTTTATTGCTCTGGTATTAGTAATCTGTGATATTATACAACTTTATAGGCATATAATATTATTACAATCTAAATACTATTTACTTTTAGATTTGTCTAAGTAATGTCAATGTTTACTTAGGGAACTACGCACTTTATTTTTAAATATTTATGAGCTAATCCTTTAAGCTTGTATGCCTTTGCAGTCAACAGTAAAATACCTCACACCATACCCATTTATTTAGAAAAAAAAAATGCTGCTCATGAAACAGCATTTCATGTGTTTTTAGCTAATAATCGAGATGTTTGTGCCACTTATAACAAATTATTTTGTCCCAAAATGCGAACCCCGGCCGTCTCTGCAGATGCTTGGCCGGAAACAGCAGCATCTCCACTTAGAAAAGACGATTTGCCGTTACTATTGCCCAACCGCGTGCGTGGTATTTTTCTAGAAAAACATTCTACTATTACACAGTTTAAGGGCCTGTTGGTCTAGTGGTCAGTGATCTAGACTGCTAAGCCAGAGGCCATGAGTTCGATTTCCATCCAGGACAAATAGTTGTGTAACGAGCACGATCGTTTGTTATAGAACAGACATAGGTCTGTTCTATAACAAAACAGGTAGACGACCGGATGGCGTAGTGGTTTGTGTAACGGACTGCTATTCTAAAGGTCGCGGGTCGCGGGTTCGATTCCCGCTCAAGTCAAACATTTGTGTGCATGAACATTTAAGGTTTGATTTGGTCTGGTACACCCATTATATACAATATGTAAATATTTAGTAATATTTAAGTAGGTTTTTGTCAGTTTGGTTACCATAGCACAGGCTCTACCTAATTTGGTATCAGACGGCCGTTTGTCTGATGTGCTAAGTATATATTAAAAAAAAAAACACATCAGTAATCCTTTATGTTGTTCTGTACAACAAGATGTTATTGTGGAACAATCATATAATTATTTAACAAGTTCCTTGTGTTTATGTTAAGAAACTGAGTAGATAAGATACAAACTGGAATACATTTTATAAAAAATGCAGTAACTAATCTAAATTACTTTAAAAGTAATGATGACAGTACATAATTTACTTACCAGTGACGTCCAACAGGACTTCGCCACGTCCTCAGGAAACAAGAATATATCGAGTAAGGCCCAGGATCCTCGCCACACGAAAACCACGAGAGATCCCACCACTGCCACAGAGAATATGCAGTCCAGTATGTACAGCATCGTCTCTCGGCTGTTCTGTAAATAATAACAACGGTTACATAGCTGTTTTATAAACGGCTTGTTGACGTCTTAACACATGATTTTATCTATGTTTAAAAGGACTCACGAGGAGGGTGTGTACAGTTTACCAAGCTCCCATAATACTCGACTAAAAAACAGGCTGGTGAAATATGAGTATGTTAAAGAATTCTTAGCCCGATCTCTTCAGTTTATGCACCAAGAGACTCTGTCATATGGTCACAATACATATTCATTTAGTCACTATATATTTCAGCATTTTACACTTAATAGCATGATGTTATTTCGGTATGAGGTTGATGTTCATCCGTTCTTTGGTGGATAGGTGTGTACGGGATGGTTCATTCGGACGCATCATTATTCAGTTTATTAGTGGTGTAAAAATATTTCACAAAACATGTACTACAGATATTATTGTACTACAAATATTTCACAAAACATGTACTACTACAACATGTAAAACAGTACACAAAACATAACGTACTACAGAAGGTTTATTTCACTGTGTTCACCTGGGTGATATCAGCCGGGGGAATGAAGTCGATTTTTTGGTTTCCTCCTTTCTCGTTGGAAGAATTTCACCTAGGTAATATCATAGTGGAATAAAAGATAGTGGAATAAACCCTACAGAATAGAAGATATTTGCGAGTGCGAGATGGAGGTTTTAGTTTATCATGCAATAAGTATAATAGTGTTGCTTCACACTAGATCCCTTGAAAAGCCCTTAGTCGGGTCTAAATCCTCGAAATACACACGTGCTTTTTTCAGTTGATTCTTTATACTTAAAAGTATTATTTTACTCAAATTTACTGATTTGTATATAAAACAATTAGATCTTGATGGTATTTTATTTTATTAATTTAGATTTACTTTAATCGACTTACTGTCAAGAAGTGGTCTGTAAAATTTATATTCAGTGCTAATATTATATTGTTGAGATTCTCGGACCTTCCGCGTTCAGTACACTTATATTACGACATGACAATAACAACAAACGTAGACGATCGTAACAATTTATACACAATAGTGATCTAGAAACCTTAAAATGACCTCGACAAATGTTGATGTATGGCTCCGCATTGTATACGTACCTACTGGCTATTTGGAAAAACTCTCCATATCTGTATCCCTTATAATATATAAATATATAAGGTGGTCCGACGACCTGGTAAAGAGCGCGGGAAGCCGTGCGGGCAGCACAGGACCGGTTGTTGTGGAGAGCCTTTGGGGATGCCTATGTCCAGCAGGATGTCAGGACGTCTTTCGGATGATGATGATGATATAATTCTATTTTTTGATATGACGTAACTTTGAAATTCATATTGAATAGTTTATGTTCTTGAGAATACGACGTCGAAAGATTAAATTATTCTACATATCTAAATATCACGATGAAAGCTTAGTTACGAAAATCAGTTAAATAAAATACCCACCCACCACTACTCATAGTGTATATAAGCCAAATTATAACTTGTCCATTGATAAAGTCGTTTCCAGATAATATTATGCAGTGGCGGGAGTTAGAACCAGAAACATGTACCTCTCTGATTAGCATAGGGTTTTTAAACGTGGTGGTAAATTAATAATAGTGGATAATCCATCTAACGAAAAATATTTAGGTTAGATTTCCAACAGGAGCGAAGGATCTACTAGGACGTACTTTAGAATTCAGATGTAGAAGGTAAGTCTATACCTAATTATGTTTACAGGTTCTAACGCGAAGGCCTCATCGCTTCGTAGTCAAAGCATCAGATAACTTTTAATCGTGTTAGTTTCATGGCACTTGTGGATGTTTCAAACTGCTTTTAACTGAATAAGATTCTTTTAAGCGTAAATGACATAAATTTGTCCTATAGGCATTAAAATACCAAAATTGACAAATATCCGGCTTTTTATGAATATTTTTTTTAATTATTAGCTCATTGAAAGTTAAATATATTTGTAAGTCTTTTATAAAAATTGTATATTATTAGAATAAAAAATAACCTTCATTGTTGCCTAGATTACCTCATTTTTTTAATACAAATACCTTTATATCACAATTAAACTATGGTTATGTTTACGATTATGAAACTGAAAGCTCTAAAATACAAAATTGTGGTAATCATAAACGTTTTATTTGAATAAATCTATAGGTTTTAAATACCATTCATGCATGTCACGCTCTTTTTTATACAGAATTTATTTTTCATGATGCTTGATTTCGGCTATTTTGTTAAGATAGATATTTTGTTACCGTTGTCTTTAAATCTGAAGTAAAGGTTAGGCTGCTTTAGGCCTTACTGGTAGTTTCACTAGTCAACTTAATAAAATAACTATTAGTAGGTAATTCGTTTTACAATATAGGACTAACCTTAGACCAAGTACCCTGGGTGAGTGAATATATTGGAGCCCTATAATATCAACTTTAAATTAAAACAAAAGAAAACTCTTTTTTTGTTGGCTGCTTATCACATATATATAGATATTACAAGATTTTTCAAACAATAAAATGTACAATAAATGAATGTACAATATACAATAAAAAACATTGTTGTTATTTTTTAGAACATTGTTCATCTTAAGTGATTTCTTAGGGAAGCACGCAGCCGCCCTTTGGCCTCACCTTGACACCATAGGCGGTCGCACGTGTCGTCCAACCTTAAAGCCGGTACAGGTTGTTTCAACAGATACACCAGACTATTACGGGTTTTTAGATTAAATCACCTTAATTTTATGGCACCCCACAGTTCCGTATATGAAATAATGTTGTAATTTAACCAAGTAATCAAATTATTCATAATTATGTGCTGTTTGTATTTGATGATTGTGAATACAAATTTCTTTGATTGATTCGTAAAGTAATTTTATTTATAATGAACAAATAGTTACGCAATACAAAATAATGAGTATGTATGTATTGTCTACGAAAGTGACATTGTTCCGTAGAGCCTTAAAATTATCGCGAACCTTATGTCTACAACTTGTAATGTTCTAAAAATACTCGTATATAAAATTGTTTTAATATTGGGTGTGAGTGGTCCTAAGAAATATCTTTCGGGATCCAAACTAAGTTCCACAGTGATATCATCAATCATCAACAGTCTTTAACAGTCCACTGCTGGACATAGGCCTCTCCTTAGAAAGGAGGTTTTGGCTTACAATACCACGCTGGCGTGGTGATATATGCTTTTTTTTCAGAATTTTAAGTCTTAAATTCACATTTTGATGAATATTTACAGTTTGGTTTGAACGGGTACATTTTAGGGATGTTAGGCGATGTCAGAACTCTGGAGGAGGAACTCACGAGCCCGATTATTTAACTTATCTTTTTTTCTAACTTTAAATGTATTCATTGGCTTTGATACCAAGTGTTACAAATTTTTCAAACATGGCAAAGAACTTATCTCGTTCCTAAATAAATATTCTTTGCCTAGTATATTATTAGGTGCTCATCGACTACTGGAAATGGAGGTTAGACTACACAGACAGCCTGTGACTACAGCCAGTGCAACCTGGTCGAAACCTCAGGCAATTTAAAGGTTCAATTAATACCTATCGTGAGCGCGTTAATAAGCGTAAATAAATAATGAAATGATGGGAGACAGTTTTTAGTACGATAGTAATCTGTATAAAAAAGTAGTGACTAGATTAAGAGACGGGTATCGCGTTTAAAATCGCAAAAATACATAGGGTATTCTATTTTTAAACTCACCTAGATAGTTATCTAGGTGTACACACAGGAACGACGAGCGAAACAAATACGATCAGCTGGTCGCGTTATGCACTTTACTAATCTCGAGTGTGGGTATGTGCTTTAGAGTTTGATGAACCTTTATATAAAGGAGCAGGAAATTGATTAGCTATATGAATCTACGGTTAAGAAACCTGCATAAACAGTTTAAAAAACTTTTCAAAAAATGGCAACGAACCAAAACTGCTTTTATATATTTTTTAAATATTTCTTTGAGACTTCGAAAGACTTCTAGTTTTCACAAAAGGCTATGACAAGCAGAGACGTTCTGTTGGAGGTATGAAAAGGAATAGCCTAGCTTCTGTCTCATCCAAGAAAGGGTTTTGTAGGAAGATAATTTTTGCTCTAAAATAAATCTGAGATTTGAAAGGTTTAAACTACAGAATGTAATTTCTGTGTAAAAGCACAAATTTGATTGTTTAAATCAATGTAAAGATATAAGCAATGGCTTTAATTTTAATTTGTCTGTATTAGGTATACACATACATATACATTTGTTTGTATTAGGTTCTATATTAGGTAAGCAACATCTTAGTCAATTTCAAATTAAATAAATTGAGATCGTTATGACTACAAGAATGAAAATATAAATAGATATCACGTCTAAAAGTAAAAACTTATTATTCTTCTTACTACAGAAATCTTTTATACTTCAAAAAATCATGTTTTTTGGATTTTGTCACTAGAGAGGCGCTTAGGTGGTTCTCTCATCATAATCTGAACGGATGTTTAATGATTCAAGGTTTAATACTAGTTATTTATGGTACTACATTATATGGCAAAATAGAAGTGGGAGCGTTGCGGATGTTTTTGCGGATGATACTGATTCTACACAGCGAATACTTGTATTTAAGATTATAGGCAGTTCTCTTTGAATATTTTACTCTACCTTACTCTGTTTAACTATACTTTATTGACCGAAATAACTTCAGGTTTCGAGAGATAGATTATTACAAAAATAGTAAAGGATCTGTAAATTAAAGCAATAAGTGGTCTGCTCTAACAAGTATGATCCTTTACACTATTTACACTATTTAGCATTTCAGCAATTTAAAAATAATGTGTTTAAGTTTCGTAGTTTAACAGCTACTTGAACTAAAATAAAAAATCGAATATAACGCTAGAGATTATTATGTTGACTTTTTTTGGCCTGAAGGCATTTGTCTAGTGTGATTTACCAACCGTACGGAACATGGTGGGTACGTCAAAGTAGTCCTGTGGTGAGTCCACAGCTACAGTGAACGGCGCGGCGCAAATGTTTCGA